GAGGGAAAACACTCCGATTTATTGTTTTGATATTATCAAAGTGGCACGGCCGATGATAATACTCACAATTTATGAAACTTCAAAAAATTGTATTATCCGTCAAAAGTTGTTTATTGAAACTACCTTCTTTTTTGTATCATGGTTCAAACCAAAACCGCGTATCAACATAATGCAAAACTGCGTATGTGAGGCTGCATAAATTATTTCCTAGAGAGTAAAAACACTCATATTTCAGAATTGTTCTCTTTTTATACCCGAGCGCACTTGTGCACAAGGGTATTATAACTTTGTTCACATAACGGTTGTTTGTAACAGGCAAAACGAATCGAGATAGATATAGACAAATGTATACATAAATGATCAGAATGAAAAGCGAAATCGAATAAGCGGTGACTGTCTGTCCGTCCGTCCGTCTGTGCACACGATAACTCGAGTAAAAATTGAGATATCTTAACGAAACTTGGTACGTGCACTTCTTTCTGGCGTAGGACGGATGGTATTGGAAATAGGCAAAATCGGACAATAACCACGCCTACCTCCCATATAACGGTAATTTCCAGAAATACGAATACTGCGATATTTTAGTAACTACTGAAGATTTTTCACTCAAAATTGATATTTACAATAAGTTTTAGACGAAAAATAAGAATATTATAAAGATTTGGAAAATGGGCGTAGCCACGCCCACTTATGGCTACATGTAACCCCTATAGCAATGTCTTCCAAACTTGGCACAATTATTGGCCTTGGTACAGCATACCAAATGGCCGAAATTTTTAAAAATCGGGCAATAACTACGCCCACATCTCATATAACGGTAATTTAGAGAAATACGAAATCTTCGATAAATCAGTAAATATTGAAGCTAATTTATTCAAAATTGATGCTTGCAACAATTATTTACCAAGAAACACGTTTATGATAAAATTTTTTAAAATGGGCGTGGCACTGCCCACTTATGATCACATATATGTATCTCGGTAACCGTTTGTATCAAACTCAGTATGGTTATTGTGCTTGCTACATAGAAGAAAAACGTTGAAAATCATTGAAATCGGATTAAAATTGAGGCCGCTTTTCATATAATGGTAAACTTCAGAAATCCTTGTCACTTCAATATTTCGAAATTTAAGGACGCTAATTTACTCAAAATTGATACATACACCCACCCCGGCTTACCATGTAGCGGTAGTTTTCGGAAAGGTGAAAAACATATATTTAATACTTGCGCCGGGTATTTAATGTTCGGCTCCGGCTGAACTGACTTTCTTACTTGTTTATAAATCAATCCCATTTCTTCCTAGCATATTTCTGGACGGATGGATAAGGCTTGAGCCAAAAAATGTCAGTTACGCGGTTTTGCAGAACGACGATACGCGGTTTTGTACTTTAAACTACGATATGAAAGTATAATTTTGATCACTTTCTTCACGCGTTCTGAACCCTAGTCATCCACCCTATTTTCGAAATTATGAAGGCGGCATAATTTTAAAGTCCAACATATTCCACATCTTTGAATGTACTGATAAAAGGAGTGTTCGCTATGCAAAAAATTTGTACAAGTTGGTACCAATTGTTACCAAATCGTGTTCGTTTAGCCAAAAACCTAGTAAAACTTGCAAGGGGAGGACACAATTTTGACATTTCATTTGGAGGGGAAGTTGCAAATTCGTGCTGGGAAAATAGTTGCGTTTTTTTTACTCATTTCCAGTAAAATCCAGTAAAAGTTTTTACGAATTTTCATGTTTTGGCGTTTTCGTACGCAAAAACTTGCAAAGTAGGGGAAATCAATTTCTCTCTCAAGAGAGCGAAAAATTACAGTTGAAGTTGCAAGTTTTTACTGGATTTTACTGGATAAATTTTACTTGTAAGAATTTTCCAGTACGAAAAACTGCTGATCGCATGTTGCTGGATGAAATTTAAACTAATAAGGAAACTGTTTGTGGGTTTTTATTGTTGAATTTCACAAAATAAACCTATTTAAATACAAAATATATTGTTGTATTATTAGGAATTTGCTGCGAATAAACAACCAATTTATCAGCTGTTCATGAAACTTGCAAATTATTACTGGAAAAGCGAAGCGAATTCTTAGAAATGAAGTTACTGGAGAGTTGCTGGCAAGTTACTGGATAATTTGTAAAAAAAACACAACTAATTTTTGCCAGTAAGAATTTGCAAGCAGGATTGTGGCACACGGATGCATTTTTGTCAACATTAATTTGAATCAACAAGTTTGTTAAATTTAAAAATGAACAATCTTGCTGCGATTTACTAATGAAAGAAGTATGAAATATTTGTTTATTCAATTAATTTAATTAACTCCAAACATTTGAAAGGTACCCGACTGAAAAAGTTGTATTCGTAATCGGAACGCACTCGACAGCGCTGTCGATATAGGAAATCCGACAGTGACTTCCACAAAGAAATTGAAGCGTATGTTGAAGAAAGTCCTGTTTTCAATTCCTCCTGAAATAATTTAAAAATTCATTATGCTCGAAATGCAACCGTGGACGCCAGCTGGCAGTGAAGCTTGCAAATGTTTGCTAATTCCTGTTCGCGCAAAACTTAGTAAGTTTCTCTCTTTGGGAGAGTAAGGTACCTTATTCTCTGAATTTTGTTACTGGCTAATTCTTACTGGTAGTTGCATAGCGAACACTCCTAATATATTCTGCTTTCAAAAAAATATTTTTTCTAGTGATCAGGTAGCATGAATTTGATGAAATATCATAATTTTATTAAAAGCCAAATGGTTACCAACAACAACGAATGTCGTTAAATGGAACTACCTTCTTTTTTACCTTCTTACCTTCCTTTTATTAGCTCGGGATGTAACTATGTAATATTGATGCGCCTAAAAGATGCAGCGATTTCTATTCTCAAGTTACATACCTGGTGACAGTACGAATGGCAATTATAATAGGGAGGTTTTAGTTTTTAAACTACCACCCTCATTGCGGGAGTCGTGTCGAATGCAATTCGTTTTTCGAGATTCGAATCGTATCGAAAATTTCACGTCATTGCCTAAAATTTCCACTCGACTAGTGTATTAAAACGGAAAAACTTGGCAGCACTGTACAATTTTCGACAATTTTCGTCGTTTATTTATTTCAGCACGACAGTAGGCAATGCCAATGTTGTCGAGCCGTACAATTTAGCCTAATTTGCGACTTACACAATGAGGCTGTATAATTTTATTTTTATCATGGTTCAAACCATGAATATTTCAAATAATAAATTTTCATTTGTTTATTTTGAATTTTATTTAACATTAGAATAATTTTTACCTTTAAATATTTTTATCATGGCCAGAAGCGATCAGATACAGATAACAGATCAATTAGCACCAGGGGTAATAAGTACGGTGACCATCCGTCCTGTATTATACGGGACAGTCCTCTTTTTTGACCAATTGTCCTGGTAATTTCTTTATTTTATACGGGACACCAAATGTTCTGTATTCCTTTTCACGCCCTGTATTTGTCCCGTATTCAGTGTTCGGCATTTCGATGCCTTAACAACCCATTAAAATGGCATGTTTATGAAACAGTTTTAAGTGATGTTGGTATATGATTGTAATTTTCTCC